GAATGAAAGTCTCCAAAAATGCTTTTTGTTAAAGAATATAAACATATTATTTTCCGAGACTTTTCATCAAATTGAGAATGATACAAAATGCACTCGGTCGACTGTGCTTGAGCGAGACGAGAGAACAGAATATGTGAATATGTTTGCAGACTTGCTGACGAAAGAATGGTCAATTGCGGGCCCTGAGGCTATGCTGAGAGGCGGACAGGGCGGATGGAGCAAAGATTGCGGCAATTCCTCTTTCATCTTGTAGCATAAAGCGATGATGATGAAGCAAGTGTTGGTGGATGCAACCGGCGCTTTCGGCCAAGCAAAAAGGATGACAATCTTGCTTCAGCGGCAACTGTTCGCGCATGAGTTGAGGGAGAAGAAGTTGGGCTGTTGGAGACAGTGTCAGATAAGTAGCTGAAATTGATTTGATCCATCCCCACGAGAATAGATATCAAAAGTGATAGAATTGAGGTGGGAGCCAAACAGAGCCGTGTTTGGGGAATAGGGGATGTGCAAATAAATTAGGTTTCAAGTATCAAATCTAATAATTATTTGGCCAAATGACACATAATGCTCATCGCATAAGTCGGGCCGAGGAAGGGTTAAATGGCCGATAATGAAATGGAGCAAAAGTACTCTCCAGCGAGGCGCTACTCGCAAAATGGCGATGAAAGGAGTGAAAGGAGGGTACAATGTGAAGTGTATGTTGACATCGGAGTCCATCAGAGTCCGCAATTAGTACATTTGTGTAAAAAAGGGAAGGGATGACGATGTCAGGTGCACTTTTGGAAGATCCTGTGACTTGAAGAACTGCCTTCTTCGGTTGTACTGGCACCAAATGGAGGTGGACCGACGGCATCCGCCGAGCAGGTGTGAAAGTTGTGCTCGAGCTGAGCATTAAATATACTTTTGGAAGATCTCGAGGTCCAGCATTAAACGGTACTTTAAAGTCCTACATATTTGTAGGTTTTCTCGAATGCTCCCTCAATTTGTGATCAGATCGGACTCTGCGTATATCTTCATCCTTCACCTTCACTCAAAATAGAAGTCATTCAAGCATTGCTGCACCAAGAAATTCTTGGAAAACAAACTTCTCTATTTTGCTTTGGCCACCTCAACTTTTGGTTTTTTGGAAATACGAAAACGAACTGTCAAGTTCACTGCGTTTGCTTTCATTCTGCAAGCTGAAATTAGCTTCACTATTTACTTGACGAAAATTCATCACTTCTTAAATTCTCTGCAATACTTAAACTCATCTTGTTAATTGTTGAACTTACTTCCATTTCGAGTAAAAGTGTTGCGTGAAGAGATTCGAAGCTCGGTTCCACCAGAAGACGACAATCTCCTTCGATTCCGGTAAAAAGGTCCGTCAAATGACGAACATCATCAGAGCAAGGTATCATCTTCACAACCAAATTCAAGCTAACGAATCAAGAAAACTCACCGGCAAAAGCATAAAAAGTGGTAAATTTGGCCTCTTTGATCAAGTATAAAGTGATTTGGTTAGTTACGGTCATATGTAAACTTTAATGCCTGTGAGTGTGTCTGTCTGTGTATTTGTATGTGCCTGTTTGTGTT